TCTAATACTTTTACTTTTTGAGTGGTTCCGCACTACGTCCGATCCGAACCCGTGAAAATACGGATCTAGAAATCTCGCACTGAGTTCGAATATTGCTTTTCGCACTACCTCCGATTTCTGATCTGTAATTACGGATTTGGAAGGCTACTAAGTATTGAGATCACTGATTCTAATCCATGCAATTCATCGGTCACCTTTTAGCATATGTTATTTTGCCTGGAGCCATAGTAGTGCGTTCACGTCGTTGATCATGAGTCCTTTGACTCGGCGTCAACTTCTGGCAATGCTGTTGTACGTACGAACTACTACGATCGACATAGAAGAAGTAAAGAATTCTAGGTGCATTAATACAAATAATAGTATGGTTACCTTGGTTCTTCGGAGTGGAGATTAACGGATAACAGAAAGAAATCAGATGACGGAAGTCGGATTTAGAGCGTAAACTACCACAGAAATAGTTCTACGACAACATCGGGCTGTATTTTCACGGGTTCGGATCGGATTTTTATCGGACGTAATGCAAAGCCACTCTTGATATGACTTTTTTATTCCTAGAACAAAGGAGTTGTCTAGAAATGTTTTTTAATACTTGAAAAATTCCGGTAGCGATGAACCATATATTTTTAGACAGATTTGCTAAGACCTAATAGTATAATTTATAAAATAAAATTTAAAAAAAAACATCGTTTTCAGTAGGGTCTATTTTTATGCCGATTTCGAACAGAACGTTTGCTATCGATGCCCATTAACGAATAGATTTCTACAAATTTAAAGATTTTATAAACTACGTAGTGTTCAGGCGAATAGCGTTACCTACTATTGATTTATCTTGTGAATAAACAATATTATATAGTCTATTTTGTATTGCCATCCTCAAATAAAAATATCCATGAACGTGAAATAACTTTTAATTTACCCTTAAGTGCAGGCTTTAAAAAATGTTATAAAACTTATTCCCAATTCCTAACTTTAGCTGCTATATATATAGATTTTACTCGGAATAAAAAAAACCAACGTCCTAACAAAAAACGGACAATTCCTTAATAATTTTTTTTTTACCCTGAAGACATTTCTTGGGCAGGTCATAGTCCCATGGAAAACCGCCGACATATTTTTTTATAGAGAAGGGTCAAACGAGCAGACCAGTCATCTGATGGAAAATGATTACCACTGCCGAAGCTGCTCGTTGAAAGGTTTTATAACAATAATATTTTCAGACATTGACAACGCCATCTAGTTTCAAACCAAGCAGAGCTTGTACTATGAAAGCTAGATTGACTAATAGACTACTTATATAGTTTTTGTAAATATATATATATTACACATAGGAAATATAAATACTTGCTCTTTTTAACCGAGACACAGATATCGCCTTCATCGGACACATCCTACCTCTCTTACCCTGGCTATTGCCTTGATACGCAATCGCGCCTCGGCATTCTTGAAGGACAGGACCTCTCTATCTTGGACATCATCATCATCATCATCATCATCATCATCAACAGCCTTTAATAGTCCACTGCTGGACATAGGCCTCTCCTTAGAAAGGAGGTTTTGGCCTACTATACCACGCTGGCCAGACGGGTTGGTATAGGGATTGTATCAAGTTTTCCTTCTTTTTGCAGTGCTGGTGTCCTGCGTTGTTTTGCGCCCTTAGTCGCCTCTTACGACACCCACGGGATGAATTGGGGGTAGTGACATTCCGTATTCTTAATCCGTCACTACTACTACTATCTTGGACAGCGACGACCATCGTCGCGTTTATACATGCCCCTACAGGTTTCACAGCGGTGATACCAAAATTGACCGACTGATTGACCACGTCCAAATGGTTACAGATTTTGTGCTGCAGCAGATCCCATCCGCAAAGATCGTAATACTAGGTGAATTTAACGCTTATAACGCCCAATGGCTTGGTTCACGCAAAACCGATCACTCGGAGAGATCTGTACACGACTTTGCCCTGATCTAAGGCTTGTCATAACTGGTATCAATGGCCACGCGAGTCCCAGATGTGGAAAGTCATGTGCCTTCATTGTTGGACTTCTGCTGACCTCCGATCCGGACGGTTATGAACTCACCGAGGCCCTACTTGACCCCTTGGATCATTGCGTAATCCGGAGTACAGTACAACTCATGCGTTTTTTCTTTGCGTGCTACCCATGGAGTCAGGTGTGTTTCTTGCCGGATCGTCCCAATTCTGTCGCTGGTGCAGTGCTTCAGGGCATGAAATTATACGTTCCATCTTCATTAATTCCCATCGGGGGAGATCCACGCCTTGGTTAGACAGCCCATGCATCATTGACCCCCCCCCCCCCGTCGCTGCATTTGACCATGCATGGTAACAATCCTGCAAGATTGTTACCATGCATGGTCAAATGCAGCGACGGTAGGGGATGTAAATACTAGCACGCTAAAAAAAATAATGGCTACCTCCACCTCCATTGATTACAATGAAATTTGAATATAGTGTGTATGTGTGCGAGCGTGCGTGCGGGTGTGTGTGTGAATGTGCGTGTGTATCGCAAGCACCGATCTTCCTCACCAGTACTTAGATTCTTCAACCAAATAAGTAAGGTAGTACTGGCCTGGCGTGGAGTCGCTGGGTCCCAGGGATTACATCCAAAAGTTCAGAAATCGAATGTGACTAGTTCCTTTTGTTCGGCTATTGAAAATTAAGGATGTTGCTCGCTCAGCAGCGACCAGAAATTGGTGGCGATCCTGTAGGATACGTTTAATGCCGAAAAGGATCAATAGCAGGACAGGGGCGCTTGTCGGTTTTGGAACGTTCTGTCTCGTCGCAAAAACGAATCCACCCGAACGGATCCAAAAACAGCGGAACCAGCTAAAACAATGTCGTTTATTTTTTGTATGTATATAAATTCGTTGCACGTTTATAGATTGTAGGTAATTGTTTTTGATGGTAATGATGAATCCAATACAACGCTTGAGTTACTTTTACCCAACGCAAATGAATTGAATGTGAAATGAATGAATACCAATTTCTCTGCATAGATAGGTGGAGCATCTAAAAAATATATCGGTGTGTGCATTTACACCGGGAAACAAACTTCGTGATGTCCGAATTTTATGGAGAATAGTATAAGAACAATTAAAGTACGCCTTGAACTCGATCGATTCGCGCTGATTATAAGTAATAATCAATTTTAAATTAACATAATCGTATTACCCTAATACTTCTTTGATTCATTTCCCTGATTCTATTGATATCCTCTTTTACACAGTTCATCTATACTTTCTTTAGTTGTGCCGTCAGTTATCCGTCAATTTTCGTTATATTAAACACTTTTCATCATATTTTACTTATCTCTGCGGATCACGTGCAAGTAGATATCACGATAATCCATTGCTCTTTAACTTTACATTTTTTCAGACTACGTTTAGCAGAGGCGACCTTTGGGGCTGGCAAACTGGACAACCGCCAGGAGCATCGTTCAAGCAGGGGCCTCGCGGACTTACCTAACAACCCCTTTAGAAAAATATTATGCCCATAAATAATATATGCCCGTGTTTCATTTTCGCCTGTCATTTCGACAGATTGTCAGTGTCAACTGTCGTTGGTTTATGCTTTTATGTTCGATCAGCAGTGTGTGTTAAAATTTTCTTCGCTTATCTGTTCTGGCTGGGGTCGACTGCCGCCATTCGCGAAATACTTCGGCAAACACTTTCATTTCCAAATGCCACGGGGAAGTTCCGGTCAATGCGCACACCACCTCCGTCGAAACAGTACGTTAACGCCAATATCCACTGAGGACGCCCGAGTCGAGGGCCTCCGCCGACACTGGTGCGCCGTACAGTACTATTAACCCCCGTGTACAGCCGTCTTGTCGCAACGCTGGATCAACCTAAATTCTGCAAAAGTCGGCCAAGGGCAGACGCAGCGCAGAACAGGTAAAACGGTAGGGAACCGATTTGACCACGATTGAGCCGCCAGGGGATGGACCACGACGGGGCCCATGTAATAAGAGGGTCTTCGTTTTATCCGGGGCCACCCGTAAGCCAGCTCCTCAATCGGCCGACTACCAGAGAGACAACCCTGATGGCCAGGCGTGCCGCCTCTTGAAAATTCGCCTCACGGGTTGTAACCAAAAAGTCATCAATGTTCCATAGGAGGGGCCTGAGAATGACCTCTGTGGAAAATCGAACGACATGAGTCTGCCATTAGCCGCTTCTGTGTGTGATAGTGGAGTGCTTCCCTGATGCAGGTGAATGGTAGACAATTGAATTCGTTGGCGATGTCCGGCAACATCGCCAACAGCACGCTGCCACAGCTCATATCCTCTTCGGTCACAGCCCTCAGCAAAACCTAGCACAGCAGCCTGGCGGACAGCTTGAGTTCTAGACCTCTCCTGGTCTCGCTCCGTCGTCTCCTTTAGCATAACTAGTTTGCCAAAGGAGATGGCAAAGTTTTGCACGCTCTCGCTTCGATGGCCGTCATGAGGTCACACCACTGCACAAAACACACCGGATATTCTACCAACGTGTGGAGCACCTCGTATACGGTCTATGAGTATAATTATACAATTTCGCCTCAGTTAGCTATTAAACAGTTAGTTTGTCTAGAGGTAATCTTAGGCACAACCGGCAGGTTATGGTGAATTTTTGAACAGACTAATAGTTCAATGAATATAATATAAAGTGTTTTCTAAAGCTAAAAAGTTTTTTCATATGGAGACAATTCTGGCAGCAGCCAGTTCGTTGTAAACTTTGGAACAGACTATCGTAATACAATGCGTACATAAGGTTTAGGTCCGAAACTGATCGTGGGTGCACATAATGAAAACACACAAAAATATCGAAGTCGACGCAGCCATTTAGAAGGAGCCGCGACAAATCCACGTAGAGTCCACGTGTATAATAAAAAAAAATGAAAAATGGAAGTGGATAGAAAAATCCATATCAGTGTCATCTAGTGTCGAGTAGATGAACTCTGTCGATTGGCACAAGTTTTGTTGGTTATAAGTTGTTTTCATCAAAAGATGGCGTTAGTAGCACACATTGAGTTCTGTTACCCCCTGATAGAGGGCACTATTAAAAGGACATTCTTTATCCATTTTGACTTGAGACAAGTCGAGTCAAACGACCATTCTGTCTTATTTCGTCGTCATTATCGTAAGCTCATAAATGTTTGTTTCTGTGGCTGTCAAGATGCAGTACAGTTTATTTAAGACGGCAAATTTGCGATTCTTACTATCCATCGGTTTTCTATAACTTTGGGGTATAAGATTGTGAAAGTTTACTTCCCACGTCCTAGGAAATTAATATCGTCTGACGGTTCACCTTTTTCTAGTGACAAAATAATATTATTTTAAAGAAACAAGAACATCACTATTTGAGGACCAGTTCAGAGAAGCACTAAAAATTTAAGGTAAGTTCAAATTTAAGTTCTTTGAGGTTACGATGTGTTTATTTTTCTCTTCCCCATAAGTCAAAGAGCTTGTATTGTAAAGACAACGTAGATGTAAATAGTTTTGTGCGGGAAGTTTGAACTTAGTAGAAATCAAGAAGGCTTTGTTAGAAGATAATTTGTAAGCATCGATATTTTCAAACAGTTTGGACCAGGAATGAACTTAATTCACATTTGATATGTTGCCATAGCAATTGCCAAAAGTATCTGTCATACATACTTAATCTTTACATATAAAATTACTTGCCCTGACTGACTGATCTAACAATGCAGAAACCAAACCACTGGGGCTATAAAATTTAAATTTTGGGAGTTGATGCTTTTTAGCAACTACTTCTAAGGTGCTTATACATTAGAAGTAGTTGCTTATCCCAAAGGGGTTAAAATAAGAGAGGAACGGTTGTATGGAAATTCGTCATTTTCAAAGTTACAAACATGAAATGAGAGAGAGAAGCTGTGCCAATTGCTAGTATAATATAATCTTATGTTTTACAGGTCAATAATCATGGACATGATAGAAGTTGATCCAAAACTCTTTGTCACTTGTCGTTTGTGTTTAAAAGATTTGGGACAGTATCAAATAGTACCTATTGTTCAACAGCAAATAAAATACTGTTATGACATAGATGTAAGTATTATTAAGTACATACAAACTATGGGTTTAGGTATGACCTTTCTTCCCAAGATTTTATTTAATATTGTGATAGATTTACTATTTTGTTGCATTCCCTTGGCCTTGTCTTTTATGGTATTTTAATTTTGTATTCCAAATGAAATTTGTTTTGTTTTAGTCTTAATAAAAATAATATTCTACGACATTCACACAACATTATCTAGTCTGAAACTAAGTAGAGCTTGTACTATGGGTACTAGACAACTGATGTAAATACATATCGTTCCCGTAGTTGGAAAATTAAATAACTATGATTTTGTACTTCTGAGATAAACGTTATTCAGTGGTTCTTTTTCAGTTAATGTACATTTGTTAAAAAATGTGAGACAATTTACTGTCGTTAATTTTATATTTTGTGGGCCTGATTACCTTTTATTTTATGCTTTAACAAACTGAACTCTATCTTTAACTATAATAAAATAAAACATTAAAAATCAAGTTGTTTAATTTTGCCACAACTATTATTTATAACGTAACTACAATTAGCTACTTATTTCGGCTATTTATTTAGTTTTACTACAAGCTAAATCCATTTGGTAGAGTAAAATTTGGTGAAATAAATGCAGTTATTGAATTTCTCATACTCGAAATATTTTTAAATGTAAAACTTAGTGGCTTTGTATTTTACATTATTTTAATATTTTTAACTATTATTGGTCTCATATAAAATAAAAGCTGTATTATGATATTAATAAAGTTATATTTTGGAAGAAATATAAAAGTACAATAAAATTTAAAAAAAGGGTATTGTAAATAGATATTTATCTAGGCACAAACTTAAAAAAATAAACAAAATTATAGCAATTATAACAAGTGGAAACAAAATTAACTTAAAGTATTCTTTCAAATCAAAACAGAAAATAATTTAAACCCAAAATATAACAATAAGGCTCTAAAATCAGAGACTTAATTACAAAAGACATACTTAAGTAAAACTATGAAAAACTTAAAATAGGTATGTTATTTAATTTATTTGCCATTTAACTTATCATTGACCACAGTTATTGATTTATTTACTGAGTTATTTATTTTTCCTTCAAAAAATAGTGTTAGTCTGAAGATATTTATTGTTCCATCTGTGCGACAAAATGGCTATATTTTTGGAATGGAATAAGATACGAAAATGCCTGTAAGCTCAAATATGCGGCATGTTTTAGGTGTTTTGAAAATAGGGAAAAGTCAATATCGCCAAAACCGGACTTATTTAATTTTCCAACTACGGGGAAGATATATACTTTAATAATAATCAAGTTATATTTACAGTAAAGTAATTGAATTTCAAAACATTGCAGGTGGAGCCATTTGATGGTTTGCCGCAATTGATATGCATGAAATGTAAAGAGGTTTTAAGCAACTTCTTCACAGTAAAGAAGAATCTCTGTGATAAACAATCTGATTTGAGAAGCAGGATACCTAAAAAGGAGTCAGCTGTAAGTTATCATAATAATGTTTGGAACCTTGTGATATAATGTTGAATAATCTTTGGTCCTTTCTTGTTGTTAAAATAAATAATTTACATAGCTCTGGACATAGAGTTTACAGAAAACTAAAGCTTGATGTTTGTTTAAAATCAGTTAAGTATCAATGGCAGAAAATTGAAATGATGTATCTCGAAATATCAAATTTTACACTAGAGATCAAACACTATTTCAAATATTCATAACATGTAAAGTTTTTCATATAAAAATTTGTAAATGTCAGAGCTAGAATAATTTTCATGCATATATCAAATATCAAATATCATGATATGCAAATATCATGAACTTTTTGAGTAATAGACCATTTGACAGGGCTATTTTTGTAATGACATGGGTATTAGTCAGGTTTACATTTAGGTCAATCTGCGAGCAAGTTATGCTCGCGAAGGAGACGGCGGAGCGGGACCGGGAGAGGTTTAGGACTCTCCCGGCCCGCCAGGCCCGGGAACGGGCCAGGTACCGCAGGCGACTCAGGCGCCGGAGGTCGCAGAACGACCTCCGTCCTCCATAAGCGCAGGCCTGGGGGTGACAGGTGAGGCCATCTGTCACCCTAGCAGAAGCAGGCCGGGGTGGCGGCGATCGCCTTGCGAAGCGCGCTCGCTTCCAGGGAACACAGGGAACATGGGGTCCCCTACTCGTCTGTAGATGACCCGAGGTATGTCGGGGCATCAGGGACTTCCTTTCTAGGGTATACCTGGTTCCCCGGCTATTAGTACCCGAGACGGTGTGCGGTTTTAGTCGGTTCGAGTCCAACATGCCACCGACAGGTGGTATCCGAGGGGATTTCCGCACGGAAAAAAAAAAAAAAAAAAAGGCATACTCCTACCTCAAAGGCCGACAACTTGTGACTCCTGAGTTTCAGGAGTTCACGGGCGGCAGTAATCGTTTTTTTAATTTTTGTCACACTCCAAGATTTAAATTAAGATAATTTTTTTAATGTTCAGTAAAAATATATCACAACAATTTTAACAAAAAGTATAAGTATAAGACTTCAACGAGATTACTTCAGGATGAATTGTAATAAATTATAGATTCTTAATTACTTAATGTTGGACCTTTGTCTTCGAATATAAGTGGCATACTATACCTTTTAAATAAAAAAATAAAACGATTCACATACGACCGAGTTCTGAAGTAAAGAACCACATTGAAAACATCTTTCTTTTTTTGAAGTAGAGTGAATGCCATCAAAATACAGCAGACTTATAATTACTCAACATTGACTTCCGAACCCCATAAGTATAGCAGAATCATTGTTCTTGTATGTATTTATTTATCGATATCATCTGCCTACCCTTTTCCCAATTTTTATTTGGGGTCGGCGCAGTATGTATGATTTTTCCATTCTACTCTGTCATGCGTCATCTCACTGTTTACTCCCTTCCTAGCCATATCCTCCCTGACGCAGTCCATCTACCTCTTCTTCGGTCTGCCTCTTCTCTTGTACCCTTCAACTCTCATACCTAAAACTTTCTTCGCCACATTTTCCTCATCCCTCCGCATGACATGTCCATACCAAGATAACCTATTACTTCTTAACTTTTCATCCAGTGGCGCTACTTTCAGACTCCCTCGTATATACTCATTCCTAACCTTGTCCATCTGAGTCACACCACACATCGTTCTCAGCATTCGCATTTCGGCTACGTTCAAGCGTCTCTCATATTTCTCGTATTTATTTATCGATATGAAACGAAAAACTTTCTTTTACACAATCTGTATATTTAATAATATAATTGACTGATACCGAAATTTTAAATTTTCAGGCAATATTAAAAATTCAGCCACAACAAGACACTGTAAGCTCAAGCCAGCAAACCTCTGAAAACATAGAAGAGGAGAGAAGCTCTAAACAAAAAATAAAAAGAGTTATCTCCTCAGATTCAGAAAGCTCAAGCACTGTTATTTCATCAAAGAAGAAAAAGAACACTGCCAAAAAACCATTAACGTGGGATGGATCAGGTTTTAGAAAAGAACTAGTGTGTACCATTTGCAATACTAAATGGCCTCAATTAAAATCGCTCTTAAATCATCGTAGAATACATTTGAAATTAAAAACTACATACCCTACCATATTTAATAGAAAATGTTCAGTAAGCCTAAAAAAAGTTGATGAGAAAGCCAACTACACCGGTATGAATAATATCGTAGTACACAACAACAGTAAAATAATTGAATATTGTAACTCATTATTTTACTACGTGAAATATTCTAAAGAGCAAAAAGAATTACTTGAAGATAGTAGCATAGACAACGAATCACAAAATTCTTCTATGAAAAATGTTGATATTGAATCTACGGATACTGAACAAGATATAGGAAGAAGAGATACTGAACAAGAGATAGGAAGAAAAGTAAAACGGAGAAAAAGACGAATACTATCGAAAAGCTCCAATGAGACTGTTGTTATTGAAAGCAATGGCAACAAAGTTATATCTGATAATGAAGACTCCAAATTAACAGTGGAAGAAACTAAGCCACTTATTGCAGAAATAATTAATGATCAATGTATAAACATTGATGACTCATCAGACAGCGACACAGTTAGAAATGAAATTTGGTCCAGGTATAGGTTGAAGCCACTACTGGAAGCAAAACTTGGTGACTACAAAATTATACAAGGTATCATTACTATGTGTGTTAATGCTTTTCACAGAAAAAATGAATCAATCGAAAGGTCAATGAGTACTGAATCTCAATTGAGACGTAAAGTTTTAGGTATTGGTAGAAAAATCATTAATAGACAAGGTTTTAACTGGACAGGTCTGTTAAAATTTATGGAACATAAAAATCTTGGTATAATATGGGTTACTAAAGGAATACACAACGGTAAAGATTCAAATGTTATACGTATTATGACAAGATTACGTGAGGATGATACATCGGACGATAATCAAGGATGGGTACCAGTGCCTACACCTGATCCTTTACCCGATATCGCACCCAACAAAAATCCTGACACATCGTTGAGCTCAGTAACGGAACATCCCATAGACAATGAACTAAATATTCCAACCTCGTTACCAACATCTATGGAAACTGCCGTAATATATTTTAATAATTCCTCAGATCCTAAAAACAAACTTCTTAATGCTAATCCTGTAGCAAATCCGAAACAACTACCACGGAAGTTAACGTCGGGCACTGAATTCAGAATAAATAAAGTTATGTCAGACTTGAGTACATCATACCATAATAATGAAGATACTGAGCTATGTATGCCTATCATAACATCAACGACTTCATTAGCTGTTTCAAACAGTACACCAACCCCCACAGAACCACCGCAAAACGATATTGTTCTTCCTATAAACACCAATCCAGAAAAACCTGCACCTAGAATAAAAGTAAAACCAGTCACTGAGCTGATGTCGGAAAGAACACTTAATAGTCTGAGAGAACAGTCAGCAATTGTTTCTACCACTAATATGCTACAGAATCAAAGTGATCAATCTAGTATAGTAATACCCCAAATTGACCCCACTGAAAACAATATGAATACAGGACTAACTCATATTGAAAATACAAATATAGTTCTCAGCCCTAATGTTTGGGTTCCACAGAGTGTGCCGAATATGTTTACATCTCATGTGGTGCGTCAGATACAAAGTTCTAGTCAGCCAATGCAACTAGTTCAAATATCGTGTGTAAATCCAATTAATGTTAGACCAACACTGACATACCAAAATATACCTATGGCGATTGCTCCACCGCCATCTAACAACGTAAACAGCAAAGATGAATTTGTCTTATTGAATACCGTTGAACTACCAAATACAAAAACAAATTCACCTTTTAATTATTTAAAGAATCTTTCAAGGATTCATAACTTGATTTTAATTGATCCAGACGAGACATTATCCCGAGACTTTATTTGTCTCATAAAGTTTAAAGTACAATTCAAGCAGGAACCTATCGATGAACCGGTAGTTCTATGTTTATCGTTATTTTGCTCTCAGAACAAGTTTTGTTTTACAGTTAGAGATAGAAATCAAAAGGATATTAATATAAATAAAATATCACCCAACTGGCAATGGGAAATAATAAAAATTTTTAGAGGGGATCTTGTAGACAGATTGCTACAAAATGCTCAAAAACATAGTCAAGAAACGCACGAATATACAAACAAATTTTTGTGTTTACTTAAATCCATTAACTTTCAAAAGTTGTCGTGATTGCAAGTAGTAAGTTTCTAGTAATGTTAGTAGACAACCACGCAATGTTACTACAAAAACCGTAAACCTTCATTTTACAAAAGAGAGTTCAACATGAAGTGGGTCTATCTTAACAGTTATAATGCAAGTGGATATTTCCCGAATTGATAGGTATAACATTATTATACGTTAAATAATATCTATTACGTATATTATTGGTAGCAATCAATTATGTAAGCCGGTACTAATGTAGGGATTGTAATTAGAAAAGTTCTTATACTCACAGCCACAGTTGACTTGAAATACCTTTTACAAACTCCGTAGTCTCTGTACCGCCAGCTTTTGATCTTTATAATCTAATCAACCCACAAAGATAGTCGATCCACTATCTTTGTAGGTTGCTCTGCGTACGCCATAAAGTACGCCACTGCGTATTTAAGATAGTACTGTAAGGTACACGGTGAATCATCTAGAAATGGGAATATGGTATCGTTACTATACCATAGGGATGAAAGAAAGTGATAATTGCTATGCACTTCGGCGGCAAGTTCAAGCCAATTTCCAATGTATTAAATGAACCTCATTTGCTTGTTTTATCGTAGTATACGACATCGGATGATCATCGTACTTGAAACTTGTTCGTTTTCTAACTTACAGTGAATGTAAATAAGTAAACTCTACATAATGTAGAGTTGTATACTAGCATGTTTTAATTATGTTAGGCAAATACTATTAACATACGAACAGGATGCATATTCGTTTTTTAACCCTTAATTTTTCATGATTGGTCTCCATATAATTCATCGCTCTAAAAATGACTAAATTGTTTAAATCGAGCTTGTCTATATTTTTTATTTACAATATCTTTTCTCTCACTTTGCAATCTGCGTGAGTGATTTAGTAACAGTTAATAAGTAACCCCCCCAGTTTACAAAACTCACTATTCCACTTCGATCCCCCAGAGGATAATACAACACTCAACATTCCACTCCGACCCCCTTTTTTTTTGCGCGGAAATTCCCTCAGATACCTACCCTAGGAAGAAAGTCCCTGGTACCTCGGGCCATCTACGGCTTGTAGATAATAACATAGTCAGTCATTTCCTAGAAATGTTTAAATAAATTGAACTATATTTGATATTCAAACGACCTTTTGTTTTTGGTTTATAAGGACTGTGAGAGTAAGTTTATGTTATATTATTTTTAGAGGGGACCAATAAGGAAATAAATGTATTAGTACTTGTTGAGTCCCCAGCGCAGGGATCGAAGTAGAATAATGAGTGTTGTCCCCTGACTCAATCCCCCGAAAGTTCCCTGGGGAATTGAGTCAGAGGATTAAGTAGAAAGAGCCGTTGCCTGTCCGGTGGTAGGTGAGGCTCTCTCGTATTTTTGTTTTATTCTACATTATTGTTTTTTTATTATTGTAACCCTTTATAATACTCATAAGGGCATGGCAGTGGAAGGACGTTTATCCGCAGAGACAAAAAGCCCCCTGAATCGTGAAAAAAATGTCAGCCAAAAACATGCAACGTTCTCAACTCATACGGTGTGTGATCATTTGTACGCAACACGTACGTCACTCTGGACTATTCAACGTGGACTAAAGTTCGCTGTATACGTTGGTGCGCCTAGTCACATTAGTTATATTTTTTTCGGGGCCTATTCGAATTATTAATAGTTTTTGTTATATGAATAGTAGGCACAAGATAATTTAAAAAGTGCCGTGCCGATCAACTGTATTAATGAATATTGCCGATTGACCCACTAAATGGGTCAAATTACCACTGAAGGAAATTGTCAAAATACTGAAAATTTCAATATACCTAAGGTAGTCTTTCCAATTAGTAACTAAGTATAACATTGTCAACATTATTCTAGTGTATATTTGTAACTGTAATGTATATAAGTTAAAATTGACATGTTTTAAATGTCAATATCATCTAAATATAACTTATAAAGCTTTACTTTGATATTGAATACAAATAAAACATACAAATTAAAGAAAAAATATATTTGTTTACTTTAAAATAATATTCTAAAAACATTTTGTTTTCTTAGCGCCATTTTTTTGTTGCAAGGGGCGCAGATTGTTTTATTGCCTTAGTTAAAAACAGTACGTCAGGGCTATACTAATCTCATAAAGTGACTGTTTCGTGCTCCATTCTCTTTTTTATTAATTTTATTTCACGTTGTACTCTAGATTGTATATATATTTAATTTTGCTTCTAGCTAGATAAGAGTTCATGTAATTACTAGTAAATAGTTACATACTTGATTTTAATATGTTTGTCTAATTAGAGTGCTACAAAATAAATATTGGACATGATCTTTAGAAGATACATATACCATAGCATTATAATATATATTACGAAATGCCTAAATGGTGTCGCTACAATCATTCTGGGTAACACTAGACCACTTATGAGACAAATACATAATACATTGAATGTATTATGTGCGAAGCCTAAGATGTGAATAGAAACAGGTGTGTTAAAAAAGGAAAGATTCCATTATCTTGTGTTGGACCAACAATTTTAATACCTTTAAATATTCTTTTCATTATTTTTACCTGAAAAATAACATGAAACTACAATAAAAGTTTATAAAAGTAATCGTAGTTTGATTTTTTATTACTTTTTGAACTTAAGTTTTTGTAAACGTTTTCCAGTTGTCCATTGTTACCCAATATGACTATAGCTAGCTGGAAATAATTGTCAGCATGATCGTCTAGCTAATGTACAAATAGTTCTGTTATTGTCTTCTGCATATGATGATTCAGACAAACACGTGCCTTTTTAATATTTATTAGTTGTTTATAGCATTGAAGTTTGGATTATGAAATAATACACGTTAAATTGTGTAAGGAGGATAACCTTTCTTTAGTTGTTTGCGTTAGAGCTCTCTTCGAACTCTACGCGAGGCGACTGTGCACAATGAACATTGGTCAATTGAGAAGAAAACGAATAAAGACAGCTAAGGAAAGAAAGTCTCCAATCCTGAGGGAAAGATTTAGTTGTAGTAAAATGTTCTGCCACTAGAGCAGCCGACACCCGACAAGTGGAACCAGGTCTTAGTGTGTACGTAGGCCCAATAATCGTTATTTGCTTATACCTGATTGGTCAGGGGACGGGTAGCTATGTTTACTGTCAATCTTTTTTGTAATTAGGTATTATAAAATAAACCCTTATTCTGTTTTCATTGTTCCATATGGTGAGAAATAATACAGGTTGTATTAAACATAAAAAATAAAAAAAATAAACATTATAATTCTTTAATTTTTCATTCCTAAAACTATTGACTACTATTTATTTTATATTTTAACACAAAATATTGACTTAAAGAACGAAGACCTAAATCAGGAACTTAATCGCAGCAATATTGGTCACATTTTTTGAATCATTCGTCACATTGCACAGGTTACAGATACGAACGTATGTTTTATTGATATCACAGCGATTAAGTAACGACTTTTGTCTTTGCATGTCCAATTCGCCAAAGTTGTGAAATAGACTTTATCAACCAAGTGTCCATATAGATTCAACATCTACTAAAACGTCTTCTGGAGGTGAATGTTTGTGGAACATGAAATACCCTTGTATTTGTGCCGGACTTACAACCTTATGTTTCTCAAGTACTCTGAAAAAAAAATTGCATAATATGTATAAATACTGTACCTACATTTTTTAACTTTTTTGCTCGTAACCTCAATTATTTTAGTAAATTGGTCTTCCCGTCAACCGTTTCGGAGATTGGTCGAAAAAAAGAGGAACAAGAAAGATTTTTTTTTCGGAAACGTACTGCATAACATGACGTGCACGAACACTTTAATCCATACTAATATTATAAATGCGAAAGTGTGTGTGTCTATCGATCTGTTCCTATTCAAACTTAAGCCGCTGAACCGATTTAGACGAAATTTGTTATAAAGATAGTTCGTGTCCCGGGAAAGGACATAGGATTTTTATCCGAGAAATCATCCTTTAAGAGGGTGAAAAGTTTATGTGGGATAACTGCTGAACCGATTTAGATGAAATTATATAGGTCTGGTGTTTGATTTTTGAGAAAGGACATAGGCTACTTTTTACCGCGATAACCGACATACTCGCGGGCGGAGCCGCTGGCAAAAGCTAGTTTTACATATTTATGGGATATATGCAACCAGTATACGTCGTAATGTCTCGTAAAGTAAAAAAGCCTTTAGTTTTATAAAATAATGGCAATAATAGTGATATGAAGCTTACCTTTTTGCAAATGTTCTTGCATGTTCTGCAGCTTTGTCACCTTTGTAGAACCTTAAAAACATCAATTCTACTTGCTCTTGATCACAATATCCAACGAATTCCTTCATATCTACTCGTCCGGGTCTGATTAACGCTGGATCCAATCTAGGATTAAAAAGTGTAGAAAATAATATGGCACACAGATATCACAGAGCATTGTCAAAACCTACCTAAATTAATTATGACACCAATTACAAACTTTGATTTTGTCTTCTTCCCAATTTACAAACCATGGTCTTTCTCTTTTTGGTAGGTTGAGGCTTGCAAATCACGCACTGTGAAACTAAGTGAAAACTTTCCTATTATCTTTTTTACCTTGGGGTTAAAATTAGGTATTACCTTTAAAACTTCACGCTTAAAAAATTTGACAATGTATTGAAGAAAAAATAGAAGAAGAAATACCGACTTCAATAAGAATACTTCAAAGAAGTACACCACATGACATGGAACACCATTGCTTATCACTGGTGCTTTGAAATAAAATAACTAAAATCTTATAATGATGTTTTGCAATTAATAATGATATAAAGCTTTGATTTGGTGTGCAATGCTCCCATTGACAGTCATTTCGTCAAGCCAATTTTATGCAAGATAGTCAACATTGGGCTTGCATTAGATATCATTGCATATTACCTTTCTAAATAGTTGGTTGTCATGAAAACTATTCGTGCTTCTGTGGAAGCTACACCGTCGAGGCAATTTAAAAGTCCACTGAATGTAACTCTGTTAAGTCCTTCATATGCTGATTTCTGGGTAGGTGAGTCTTCTCGGGATACAAAGGCAGCGTCAACATCTTCTAATAATATTATGGACTGTTGAGGCGCAACACTGCAATATTTCATTTAAGAAAGTTAATCTAGTACTAAGTTGGTTATTTTTTGGCTGGCAGCATAAACATACATTCTATTCAAAATTATTTATCAATAAAACAGAACGAATTAATCAATAATATTATGTTGAATGCTTTGTACTGAAGCAGTAGGTTTTTTTTTCTAATATTAAGTTTTTGTAAGGCCCCTTTTACGAAATGTTAAATTCCTGAAAAACATAAAAATGAAAATAACTAATTTCAATTTTTCTGTCTTGTCACTCCGGTCGAGCCGGGCCCATATGTGATAAAGAGTGGCTCTCCCATGGAAACAAAGTCTATAAGATATTCAAAAGCAGGAAAACAATAGTAACAAACCTTAGTAAATGGTTCAAGCGGTCATCAGTAAGACCTCTTTCAGACAAATTAAGTACACATATGTTGTATTCTAACTCTCCAGCTAATGCCATGATAAAGGAAGACTTGCCACATCCTGGTGGCCCATATAGCAAATACCCTGCAAAAATATTTTGTGTTTAAAATGGAGAATTAACTAAGCTAAACCAAACTGGTTGTTCTGTGCCACAAAATTTGGGATTAAAATGTATGTTCCTGTAAATATATGTTCTAGTGATACACACAAATCACACACACAAAAATTAAGTGAATAAAACAGGCCTACAAAGTATTAATTAGGTGTACGAGTATATAAGTATTTCAAAAAAATAAATGGTGTATTTAATTGATTTGTATCTTGCTAGTGTTGTATAATAAACTAAAAATAAATACCTCGTCTGTATGGGATTCCTCTATCTGTGTACCACTGAGGACTATTGATAAAGTCCAGACAGTCTGAAAGTATTTTGTCTGCTAGCCCTGACCGAAGAACTACACTGTGAAGAGGACGGCGCCGCCTCGGGTGACCAAATGGTCGCCATTCAGATCCCATTGCGGTATACATAACTGTCATCCCTTCATGTTGCTTTAAAGCCATAGTTCTAGCTAACAAAATAAAATGGTAAGTTTTTAGTAAGAAGTAATTAAATAAGTTTATAATTAAAATGTAAGGACAGAAAACTGTTATGTACATACCTTCTTCTAAAATATTATAATATACTTGTTTATCTCTTCCAAATGCTGTCAAAGTGACTGTCTCCCATGGTATTCCCATATGAAGATCTAGGGTATGTTGTTCCCTAGTACGGTCAACCTTAATCCATGTGTCTCCATACCTAGATTTAAAATTCTTTTACATTTTATTAAAGATGTTAGTAACATTTATATTAGACTAAATTTTTAATACTTACCTAAAAAAATGTTGACCAATACTAGGTATAAAATCATATTTCGTTTTGATTTGTCCTGTATCTTTCTGAAGAAAAGATGTTTCTACACTTAAATGTTGAGTTTTTCTCGCCCCTTTCTCAGTAATCCAATGCAATAACCATTGATAAGATTTATCTCGACAAGGCACTTCGAGAGTAATCATACAATGTCTTCGGAATAATAGCATAGATGTTTGAAAACTTTTCCTCAATATAGCTGCACCAGCTCCGATTCCAAATAGACCAAATCCTGCACCGAAATACGGATTTTCTGAAAGGGACGTTACATATTCACCAATAGTCATGGTTCCAGACTACAAATAATATTGTAACTAAACTATTTAATGGAATTTATTTTAGGTAATATTATTTCTTTTATTATTCTACTTCTGTTCGATCTTTTCCCTTCGATTTTTGATTTGATTATTCAATTTGACATGTAGTTTTCAGTGTCAAGATGACAATCAGCTGATAAGATTTTATTGCCAGTCACACAAACATTCACCTGCAACTAATGGTATAATAATCAGACAAGCAAAAGAAAAATATCTCTAAAAATAATAACCGGCAATATACAGAAAAATAAAGTTAAAACATAAAAGAAGAAAGATGCGAATTCTGTTAAAGCCATACATTTTATAATATATACAATAATTAAAAGTACAAGAAAAGGCAATTAATACAGATAACACTGGTAATACAGTTGTAAAAACGAAAAAAAAAGTGATAAGACAAAAGTAAATAATTATATACATAAGGTTTTTCTCAATTTAAAACGGGATAACTTATTTGAAACAGGCCTTTTTTAGGAGCAAAATAAAACATCCAACTATTTTCAGAAAATACTTGTATGGAAAATAAATGTACCTATAAAGGACTGTTCCAAGAAATGATTAAGCAACGGACAAAAAACATTTATAAATAAACGAGAGCTCGCACACTTTTTTTGTAACAGCTATGAATGATCGAGAAATAAGTTGACTTTTTTCACCAAATTTGAATTTCGTGATTAAATATATCCAATATCCATCCTTACGTCTGAGACATTTAAATACCTAGATGCAACGTACGAAAACATGTTTTTTACGACTTCACATTACAAATCATCAAAATTCTCGGACTCTACTATAATATAAACTCGCCCTTGACTTGCTCTCTCTATCGGTAAAAACCGTTTTAAAATCCATTGCGTAGTTTAATCGTCCTGTATAACCCGGTGCTGAGTCTTGCTGAAAGGACCATTCTTGGTTATGTTACAAGGTGTTATTAAGAGGCTTAACCATCTTCTCAAGCATCGTATCTTGATACACTTGTGCCAATATTTTGACACCTTTTTCACAAAATACCTAATAATTCTGTCACTCTTTAAAAGCTAATATCCCAAAAAACTATCAATGAAGTCGGATAATGCACACGTTGTACTCTGCTGACTAATTCATGAGTTTCTATAGAGCTTCTATGAACTCGGTAATTCTGCTTGTTAAAATATTGCTGAGTACGTTTTTTTTTCCGTGACCTCCCTTTGCGTACCGCTTAAGAAGTTGTTTTGATTTTATCACTCTATTTATTTTTAAATTACCAGTTAAGTAATGACCAGTTCAGGCTGTAATTCTGAAGTCTTTTTTTAAAATACGCCACATGGTTCTAAATTCTATATATATTTATTTGATCACAGGATTCACTGCTTTGATCTTGAAAATGAATCAAAATTGCAACATATTTAAAAACTGCATACAACACAAATTTTAGTCAAGACGTATACAACTGCAACATCAAATATTGTCTTACTAGCTTGTGCCCGCGACTTCGTCCCCGTGGTGGATTAAATCAGACATCGTAGAAGATAAAATGAATCAAAATTATAGGTATATTCTCCATACAAATTTGCACCCCTTTTTAACGGTAGTTTTACAAAATAAGTGACAACGTTTTTTATTACTTGTAACAAAGAGTATTTGCTGTGAAAACGTTACTATCAAAAATGACAAAGTTTCGTATAATTTCCAACCCCCATTTTACACCCTTAGGGGTCGATTTTTTTAAAATCCTTTTTTAGTGCTCACCTACGTCACCTAACAATGCCGATCATTAGACTCAGACACCTGGGTCTGTGGCACAAAGGCGAGGGATCACACTCCAAATTATGGGATCAGTTGGTGGAATATGAGTCACTGTTAGCAGCCCAATGTGACAGGATTCCAAAACACCATATCTTTACAAGGAGATATCACATTCTGACACAAGAAAATGACCGAGATCAATCTGGTATAAACGAAGTCCGAATTTACACGGACGGTTCCAAGACTAGGTCAGGAACTGGAGCCGGAGTTTTCTCACAAGACCTAAACATCAACATATCACTAGCGTTAGGCCAACCCAGTTCCATATTCCAATGCGAATGTGTGGCAATAACTTACGCCGCCACAACGGCCATGTAAAAGGGTATTAAGGACTAGGTACAATATCCGTATACCGCCGGACAGTCCGTCCTAAAGGCACTGGAGGGGCAACACAATGATCTCTGGTATTGTCTTCGAATGCCCTCAAGCATTGGAGCAGCTTGCCACAACAAATGGGGTGCTCCTCTAATGAATTAAAGGGCATAGTAATTCACATGGGAATGACGCTGCAGATGAGTTGGCAAGGAGGGACTCGGCAACCCCGGCCGTCGGCCCAACCACACTCCTGCCACTGAATTTTAACCAACTTTGATCCTGGGTTAGACAGCGTACTCGTGAAGCGCACTACCGAAGGTGGAAAAACTCACCCGGCTGCAGACATTCCAAACTAGTGCTGACTGAAGTCTCGCCACGACTTACTTTCCTAATAGTTGCAGGAACCATGACAGGGCACCTAGCCCTGAACCGACAACTATCCATCATAAATGCGACGGACAGTCCTCTGTGCAGAGGATGCCTGAAAGCAGAAGAAACAGCCGCCCACGTAATCCTGGAATTGGGCAAGTACCATACCTGGTACAAAATCGCTCCTAGAAGTCTGTGAACACCCTAGGAGGCTTCTGCGCGTATGGAAGGAGCTTGCTTGGCTATAGTCAGTGAATCAGTCTGTCAGTTTATTTTATAGATAAATTCTATTCTATTGGTAACGTTTATGTTATAACCCTGGTTAACGTCGCGCATAAAAGTTTAATAGTAAGGCTGTAATAGTTTAACTAATATTATGCGTCTAATAATGTACATAGGCAGGTTTTTTCTCAAAAATTGAGAATCTTGAGGAAACAGTGTGAAGACAATTTTGTAGATAATTGCATGAGCATTACATTTTTGTTTGACCTATTTTTATCATAAAACTAACCGTTTCGCAAAAAATCCATAATACCCATTTTTGCTAACTTTAACCAAGCATAAAAATGTTTGCACCTTGGGATTGATGGGCACTTTCACAATTTCATTATAATGGTATCCCTAACGTTCAGCTTCTTGGGAATTTATTTCTTTTGACCGGATGTTTTTCTTTTAAATTAAAGCAGAATTTATGGCCAGACTAAGCATTAAAGGAAATTTGAGTTAATAATCATAATCTATATCCAATGCAATTTATTTTTATTTACCTTAGAATTTTATGATCGTAAGTGAGTGAGTTAATGGTAAAACTAAGGAATTTTGTCGTGATGAAATCAATACTAAGCTCTGCTACATAAAAATACACATATATAATTAATAGTACGGCAATGGAATGCCCTCACAAATATTTAGGAATAAAAAACAGAGTGGCGTGACGTCGATCCAATGATAGGGGTCGCGTGACCCGCAGCGCGTCACATGATCAAAGCATTCTAAAAACGTAAGGGTGCGTAGCTCTAACCACATAAATCCACAATTTCATAAACAATAACTACGAGTACGTAGATATTAGAAATTATTAATAGTAACAATATTGATTCTTTTCTACAATATTATACTATAAAATCAATTTTGTTGTTATTTATTTTCAATACAATAAACAATTAAATATAAATTAAACACTTAAAAACAAACTAATTATTTTATATTAACGTTTTGAAATGTTTAAATTATATTTAATTGTTTTTACTTAAACGTTAGGTAAACGTTTAAGTAAAAACAATTAACACATGCGCCAAAAGTACCTACGCTTTGAAATGAAACCGCCGCCGCTGCGTCGGTCTGGGATGATATTATCGATATTGGCTAAGCATTTAGACTTTCATCAATCATCAACAGCCTTTACTAGTCCACTGTTGGACTTAGGCCTCTCCCATATGCATAATGATGACGTTCGACGTCAAGAATGATTTTAATACCGCAAAGTGGACGGACATTGTAGAAGCGCTGCAGAGATAAGGTGTCTTCGGGTATCTCATAAACATCATAAGCAATTACCTACGAGAGCGTTTTTAGATGTGTGAGACTACTTTGGGGGAGATCTTGAAGGAACTTAGTGGGAGTGCGGCTCAGGGCTCGTCTTAGATCTCGATTTACCGACAGAAGTACTGCTAAAGGGTTTTGCTGACGATAGCGGCTGGGGGGGGGGGGGGGGGGGATCACTTTAATACCTCGGGGTGATGATCGACTCGAAATTAATATTTCGAGAACAGATCGCCGAAACAACATAAAAAAAGTCCCCCGATATACGAGAAAATGAATGCATCCAAAAAAAAACATTAATTTGACGAGATTCTTTTTGGAAAACATGGTTCAGTCATATTTGCAAGTAATTCCTCCTCCTTTCTTTGCCTGACTCGGACTTCACTGTACCGTTCTGCGCCCGTACGCTTAGGTATATTTTTTAAGTACCCAGTTAATTAATGTATTTTGTACTGTATGTGTTTACTGTAAAGTGTTGGTTTTATCTAATTCGCTTCACAAACACAAACCTCTGTAGCTTTCAAATGCACTATCCATACTTCCATACTCTGACAGGCTCGTTGGTCTAGTGGTTAGTGATCCTAACTGCTAAGCCAGAGGTCGTGGGTTCGATTCCCACCCAGGACAAATAGTTGTGTGATGAGCACGATCATTTCTTCTGTGTCTGGATGTAATTTATCTATATAACAGGTATGTATTTAGATATATTTAAGTGTGTTTATTAGCAGTCTGATTACCATAGCACAGGCCTGCCTAGTTTGGGATCAACTGCCGCGCCGTGTGTGAGATGTGTGAAGTTACTGCAGTTTTTATACTTTTGTTATAAATGTGTAAGTGAGTTTGTGTGTTACGCTTTCACGCCTTCATCATCATCATCAACAGCCTTTACTAGTCCACTGTTGGACATAGGCCTCTCCTTAGAACGGAGGTTTTGGCCTACTATACCACGCTGGCCAGACGGGTTGGTATAGGGTTTGTGTCAAGTTTTCCTTCTTTTTGCAGTGCTGGTGTCCTGCGTTGTTTTTCGCCCTTAGTCGGCTTTTACGACACCCACGGGATGAATTGGGGTAGTGACATTCCGTATTCTTAATCTGTCACTACACGGATATTACTTACCCCATTTTAAAAACTCTTACAGCAATGGAAAGCTACATTATCAGCGAGTTACAGGCTACTTTTTACCGCAATATCCGACAGTAGTCCGACAAAAGCTAGTAATGAATCATTGTAAATGGGTTTATAAAATAGTAGGTAAATAAATAAAATAAACAGTGCCACTCTGGGAGCATCTACATAAGTTAAAATTTGAAAATGTAAAAACTTTTGATTACTTGACAGGAAATATTTTTGTTTCTTTTCGATTCGAAAAGTTCCGACAATTATATCTACAAGTATGTTGTACTTATTTAAACAATATATGTTTATATTATCAATGTATTTTAACCCAAACTCAACTCTCGTGTAAAGGGGGCGAATATCTGTATATACTTATATACACAGGTATCGGTGACGGTAACAGTACAATGGTTTTTCTCATCTCAAAAAATACATTATTTTGTTTTGTTGTTTAAAAATGACCAAAGCTCCTAAACAAGTCTTCACTGCAATAAAAAAACATACTTACTGACTCATTTTGTGCAGAAATAAATATAAAATAAAATAATATTTAGAGTATCCTGCTGAGAGTAGCTGAGAGTATCCTATTCCTGTTTGTAATATAACCATAGTCAAATTTATGTGGTAATACCAATCACCAACCAGAAACTGGAAAGAAAACACAACTATACCTAGATGTAGTAATAATATGATATGTGTATGTTGTGTATTGTGTAGTACTCAATCGTTATTAATCCTTACTAATATAATTTATACGAAAGTGAGTTTGTTTGTTTGTAACCCGTTTCAGTTTAACTAGTCAACCAGTCATCAGGTAGGCATTTTTATTTATAAAGAAGGTATATAGCAGGAGGTTATACAATAGTGTGCAAGCAATTATTATCGCTGACCTATTTCCTTTGGCGTTTCAACATCTATACGGCCATGTTAATAAATGACAAACATGTCTGTTAATACCATATTATTATTACTTTCATTTATTGCTATAAAAATGGGGACAGCAGATTTAACATACCGAAAATTAGTATATCAGAAGGATATGTCAGAATATTGTCGTCGTCAGGTGATACCTGCTGTGTTTCTTGGCAAACAAGTAGTGGATGCCAATTCGCAAATATTGCACTTCTCTCGATTAGAAATGCCGTACAGTTGCTTCATAACTGTTAGGTTTGTTTGAATATCTCGGCGAGACGTATACTTGCCTATTACTATTAGTATTATCAACTCTGCGCAAATTTTTTCGTTATCTTTTTGTGGTGACGGCTAAAGTTGTTACAAACTAATAGATATCATTTCATCCTTTTTTTGTTTTTACACTAAAACAGATTCTACACTCCACCCGTCTAGCCGTCGAAAATACATCCATCCGGAGAAGGTTAAAATTCAAAGATTGAAAAACGCCAAGGACCTCAATGTAGTTTCGAGTCACGATTAAGATGTCCTTTTGTTACAGGACGGAAATGGGCAGTAACATCATAGTTGTGATTCAAGTAGTAATTGATATAAATTTGCAAAAATCCTGTAAGAAAGGTATACATCAGCTGCGTATTCACGAAGTAGGAGAGACGTTTGGAGGATACTGGGGGCAGATGCCGGACAGCGTGTTGAGACCTCGAAGGAGCAAAAACGATAACACTTACACTTTGAGGCCCAGTCCCACTCAGCCACCTACAACTACTACTGAAAGGTAGTCATAGTGAAAATAATATATACTCGTATTTAACAATCAATTTTAACAATTTTTACTTTTTATATCACTAGTATTCATCACTTGATTTTTAGTTACTTGACACTTCTTATAACTGTAAGAGGGGCGTTGACTCCTATCTCATGGACACTGCGAGGGCACCAAAAAAAACAAATAATATGAAAGTTCACATTAAAATATTGCTGATCATATTTTGTTATAAATGCAATTATTTTTCAAGTACATTTTACTGTACTTGAAAAATTATTGTATGTAAAATATTAGGCATACTTGTCTAATATTTTAGACAAGTAGATTTCTGATATTGATTATAGTTAGGTGGTAAACCTAAAAAGTTAGTAAAAGTTTTTGATTTCAAAAATTTCATTCTCATCTAGGTGACTGACGACATTACAATGTACTTGTCACTCTTGAGTTGCAGGTGAGCATGGGCGGCGGTAGTCACTTACCATCAGGTGACCAGTCTGCTTGTTTGGCCCCAATAGTGTCAAAATAACGAGGCCCTTTGCTTTTGTCACTATTAGACCCAATAGTATATATTCTGGTTTCAGCTCACTCTATATTCAAAAGTTTATGTAAGTGTAATACATTTATACGATAATTGTTTTTTTCCAGTACTACGACTTCACCACCCACAGAAAAAATTGTTCTAAATAAGACTGCAGTCGCACACAAGCATGCACAGGATGACGGATACATTGGAATAGTAGTGCCAATCTTAAATGTTTCTGCTATTATAGTCCCCGGTAAAATAGATAGCGGCTTCTTGTTAACTACAGAAGATAATTTTGATAACGTTTTTGATGTCACACCTCGGTAAATACTCTTAAAATCTAAGTTATGACTGACCTAAATTAATAACTGTAGCAAAATATGTGTTTATTTTTTTAAAGTACTTTTATGTGTTGTGCACTAAGATCTTAGTTTTCCCTTGAAATAGCCAAAGCGCTCTTTTAGACACATCATCATTATCATCAAGAGCCTTTAGCATTCCACTGCTGGACATAAGTCTCCCGTTAGAAAGAAGGTTTTGGCCTACTGTACCACGCTGGCCAAACGGGTTGGCATAGGGTTGGTTTCAAGTTTTCCTTCTCGTTGCAGTGCTGTTGTTCTGGGTAGTTTGCTCCCTTAGTCGGCTCTTACGACACCCACGGGATGAATAGGGGTGATGACACTGTATTCTTAATCCGTCACCACACGGATAGCACAGCACGCATTATTTTCACCACACGCTCTGATAAAATCATGGTTTATCAAGAGCTTAAGTTTAAGAGCCCACGAACTGTTGTCCTTGTTATCACATTTAGTTTCGAAAGCATTCTAATTGAGTTATTGAACTAAAGAAATTGCCGTCAATTGTGGACCGATTTTCGAAATTCTTCTTGTAATCGAAAGGGTATACTCCCGTGATGGTCCATTACCACAACATCAGGATCTGATGAAAGGATACTAGATATATCGAAGGAAACCTAGTCTGTTTGAAGTTTTTGCCAAGCCCGATGCACAATAAGTAATACTGAGGGTCTATGTCAGCTTTATATCAGCTCAATAAAGAATTAAGAATTAAATTTGACTTGCCTGTTCGTCTAGTGGTTAGTGACCCTGACTGCTACGCCAGAGGTCATGGGTTCGATTCCCACCCAGGACAAACAATTGTGTAATGAGCACGGTCATTTGTTCTGTGTCTGGGTGTACTTTATCTTTTTTTTTCCAGTACAACGACTTCACCACCCACAGAACAATAGCATGTATGTATTTAGAAATATATAAGTATATTGTAGTGTAGTTTAAAAGCAGTCTGGTTACCATAGTACAGGCTCTGCCTAGTTTAGGATCAGACCGCCGTGTGTGAGATGTGTAAAGATATTAAATAAAAAAAACTAATGAAACATCGGAGATTTTGTTAATTAATAAAGACCAACCAGACCAATTACCTATGCCAACTTTTCAACTACGTAATAAAGCATTTAAAAAAGTAATAATAATAATAAGTAATTAAAGTAATAGTAATAATAAGTAATTTGTGATGTGCGTAACCCACTTTTTGCAACCACTTTTACCAATTTGAGCAGTGTGAATACCCTCGCAGCCGCCGCGCTACTTTGTACCTAGCCTTTTTATTTGGCTTAGCACCGACTTCAAACAGACTAGAAGGTATGTGTTGCTATTACAATGTTACCTGTTATGGTCGCAGTTATATTAGATTTTCAATTAGATTTGTAATTATTTTTTAACTATCTGACCCCCGCAACTTCGTCTGCATCTCTCCAAAGGAATAAATTTGGCTCCTATTAGTCGTAGCATGATGTTATACAGCCTATATATTACATCGATAAAAGGGCTATCTAGCATTAAAATAATTTTTAATTCGAACCCGTAGTTCCTGATATTACCTTTACTGCAGTTAGAAAAACCAACAGCTACAAACCTGATACTGGTCAGTTTGATATACCTCATAAACACCTATCAATATGATACTACACCTATACAATCAATAATAATGAATATAAAAATGTTACAATTGGAAAAAATTGAGGTATAGCATACTATGCACAACATTGCTTTTCTTACAAAAGGCTAGGACAATCAATTTATTAGAAATAATTTTCAAAAGAAAAGATCAATCGGCTAATCAAGGTCGATTTACAAGTGCTGGATATGAAATTTCCTGCAGAGGCCAATGTAATTGTTTGCGCTATAAGGAATTTTTACACGAATACACAAGAACTGCAGGAACAGTTTCTGTATATTCTTGATGCAATCGATGTATTTATAACAGCAAGGGTTACAAAATTCCGAGGTATTCTAGATGGCCCCTAACAAAAGACTGTAGAGAATTTTCAGCGTTTTAGCTTTTACAAAGCAATTTGAAAATTCTCATTACAAACTCCAAAGTCTTGGCAGCTTTGGCAATAATTTGCTTAATATGCACATCAAACAATAGCTTCGAATCATGGTTACCGAGTGGTGGCCGAGATTACCCCAACATTCAAACTCACAAACTTTACCTCTTTATAATATTAGTATTCATCCAGGGGGTGTCGTAAGAGCTCACTAGCGGAGTAAACTACGCAGGACAACAGCATTGCAAAGAGAAGAAAAACTTGACACAAACCCAATACAAACCGTCTGGCCAGCGTATTTATAGGCATAATGGCCTATTATGTGTGGCCTATGTCCAGCAGTGGACTATTAGAGGCTGTTGATGATGATAAATATTAGTTTATCTCTCACAATCTTATGTCTCATTCACTCGCTCACTTGTCATATTATGAGATTTAATAAAGAATCTGTTCGACTTTTTTAAATTTTCTTTTATACAAAACCTGTCCTAACTGTAACCAACACAAAAAAAAGAATTATTCAATTTAGTGCAGTCGTGCAGAAGTTATGCGCGTATATACATTTCGGCGATTCATTTTTATTTTTATAGATAGATTTTTAGTGCTCCTTGTTAGTATTATTTGAAGTCGGTTCAACCTTTAATTAAAAAGAATTTATATTTAATTTTAATTAACATGCTCAGTTAGACAACTCGGTTGTCAGTTTTGGACGGTATGAAACGAATCTATGTTCATGTGAACTTACTCAACTTATTTTTGCTCAAAAGTACAATTTACGATTTCGTTAAAAATGTATTATGTCTAGTAACTTTCTACCTATTCGTTTGCCTTAAAATTAACAAGAAATCTATGGTGTTTGGGAGGCTCGTCTGTACTCATCTCTATAACTAAAGTTATGTACGAGTAGGTGAGGTATATTTATTTAAAAAATGTGCTAGGCCTTTAATTATATTTTTTCATTTAATAGAAATGGAGAGTCCTATATTACAAAAGAGGTACCTTTGCTTGAAATCGAGTTAAATAAAACTAGAGGCAGTTTACGTAATAGTAACAACTACAATGAAGATGACTCCCTTTCTCAGTTCCAAATAGAAATAAACAATATATTTACACCGGACCCAAGGTAAGTAAGCTATGAATACTTTAATTATGAAATATAATAAAATGACAGTAAAATGAAATGAGCTACTCGGGCAAATTATCTTGATAGTAATGAATTTTAAAAATGGGTCCTTGACTAAAAACGTTGTAAATAAAGTAAGCATTGATAAAATATTGTTATTTGTTAGTCTTCTGATTTTGGAACGAAGTTCCTTATCGTGCGTTGTGAAAGGGGGCTAGACGGAAAAAAAATCTCACGAAAAGTTGTAACGACACTTTTTATTTTGAATTGTCACTTGTCATTCATTCAGCGCCATCTATCGAATAGATAGGAAATCATTACTTTTCATTTTAGTAAAATTAAAATTTATGTTCTTAGGTTGAGCAAAAAATATTGTATTCGACATCATTTCTCAGGGAGATTTTACCAATGCATAAATTGTTTTAATTAGAAACAAACTGAAAAATATGTAGGTAATAGCCGCTTTCATAGATGGCGTTGTAGTTAAAATCGTGTCGAATCAGTTTTACTCGATCGTCACAACTTCGTTCCTATCGGATGTCCCACGACACCACACGGGTTTTTTTACCTTTTTTTTGAAGTGATGAATTATCGTTTGGTCTGTTTCAGATTAATGTTTACCGATTATGGTGAACGCACTTTTAAGAGAAAATCCCATAAGTATCGCCCTAATGTACTTAAACGACTAGACTTCAAGAAACATAACAATCTTTTTGTAGCAAAACGAGCACAACACAACAAAAGGTAAACTAATAGCTCGTAATACATTTTAGTAAAGGTATAGTCATGGAGAATACATTAACACTTATGGTTCTACTTAGATTTAAGACAACGGGAGTTCAAATTTATAAGAAAAATTTGATATACATAGCATTTCCTGAGCTTTATAAATTTGTTATAAATTTGTTTATACTTTGAATGAATAGGGGCAGACGAGCAGACGGGTTGCCTGATGGAAAATGACTACCGCCGCCCATGAACAACTGCAACTCAAGAGTCACAAACGCTTTGCCGACCTTTTAGGAAGGAGTGTGCTCTTTTCTTGAAGGTTTGAAGGTCGTGCCGGTCCGGAAATACCGCATACGATAACTTCTTCCACAGATTAGCTGTGCGAGGGCATATTTTTATTTCTTTTGTAAGGCATTAATATTTAATATTATTTTAGGCCCTCGTATAAAAATCGGCGACCACACTTAAATATAGTTCCAGCAAACTCTAAACTAAAAGATGTTAGGCACCCTGTTACTCATAGAAGTGAAGAAACTGAAGTGAAGTCTCATTATTGGGATGCTATCCATGACATTTTAAACAACCTGAGTAAAAGTAGCGAAGTTTTCACCCAACCACCGCACAAGGAATTAGCTAACATTTTACGTGGAGCATCTAATAACAGATTTAATGAAAATGGTCAGTACACAGTAAAAAATTGATCACTGAATCATTTAAGTCACACTTGTGACGATTGCCACATACCTTCTAGTGGGTTCACTACTGGTGGGAAACGGGTGTTATATCCCTCAAACACAAAGCCAGAATCCTCCGACTAGCAAAGGATAAAATCGGGAAACTAACTACCTAACTTCCCAATATCGCGAACTAACGGGTGATCCCGTTAGTTCGCGGTATTGGGAAGTTGCAATCGACACGAGAATAAAAAAATATACCCTGATGGGTAAATAGTGGATTGCAATCCTGATAATCTAATAAAAAGAAAGATCTAGTATTATTTTTTCTCATGAACTACATACATACTTTCAATTTCGTCTTCAATTCTATTCAGTGTGTGCTCCGCTCCGTGTGGGTTCAAACCCCACATGGGACGACACTTTGTGTGATCCACAAATTGTTGTTTTGAGTCTGGGTGTCCTTTGTGTCCGTTTCATGTATGTTTGTAAAGTCCCTCACGACACAGGATATTTTCCTAATGCGGGAGTAGTTTTAAAAAAAAAACAAAAAAAAACAGTTTTTTTTTACTTTAACTTTATTTACAAATATACAACGTGACTTATTACATTTTCAGTACATTTAAATCCAGACTTGTCGTACATAGATTTGAATACGCTTCTAGTAGAAAATACATCAACGATAACAGAAGAATATGTAACTCAATATAGGTACTATTTTAATCTACATATATAATAATAATAATAATACCTCATAACCTCACACATCTGACACACGGCCGTCTGATCCCAAACTTTGGTTAATTCCCAGTAGTTTTATTAAGCCAGTTGGAATATGGAACTTTTGCAACCCACTAGTTCCATACATGGAACTAGGGGGAATAGCTATTTGAAGCTGAAAATTATACCCAATAGTTCTATCAAGTTCCAGTTACGTAAATCCTGCTAGTACAGCATGTACCATTGAGCTTTGGTGCCATCATTGGTGCAGAGGAGACTAATTAGTTTCGTCTGCACTATTATTGGTGAAAACGAAACCGCATTGATAGTATGGTCTCATCTGTACCATAGAGATGACACTATACTTATTTTTTAAATGAAGATCGTAATCACCTTGTCGTCTATTTTATGGTGCTCAAAAAGTTCGACCTTAATGTGATTTTATAAGGTCGAAAATTGCTTGCATCAATTTTTTTACAATAGTTTTCACATAATTACATGATAAAATACAAAAATAGGCGCAAGGTGATGACGACCCGATCTTCGTTTATTTTACCGATCGCATACAGGCATCAAGCAACCTGTCAATATTGGTAATATCGATAACTGAAATGAAATGATATTTTGAAATGAAATGAAATGATATTTATTTCTGCAAGTAAATATAATAAATCATAATAAATCAAGTAAATAAATCTTTTAGATATTTTTACAAGTCGGACTTTACAGCTAGAAGGCGCTGGCATTTCCTAAGACTCGCTCTGGGAAGAAACGCCGAAACAAACCACAAAGGTGTCTTTTTTTTAAGTCCGTGTACTAAAGAGACTATGTGAGTGCAGTATAGAGTCTGGGTTGGCCTTTTGAAGAAAGGACCATAGTATTGAGTCGGCCCGTCCATACAGACGGCATAAGAGCCCCAGCCATTGTATAACTAAACCGATATAGTCAGGATCAACAACCCGGAACACTCAACACTACCGCCTGCAGGACGCAGGCGGTAGTGTCGAGTTGAGTGGGCCGTGGAAACACTTAAAACCACCAGAAAGTTACTAAAATATGAACTAACATTATAAGCCTACACTATACTTACATTTACATACTTACACAAAAAAACTATACAATTCAATTTCAAATGAACAATTTGAAAAAACAAACGAAATACGAATTACAACAAAAAAAATGTTCATCACTTTTAAATCAATCAAGTGAGCACCATCAATACCAAGCTAATTTGTCATCTAAATAATCTGTAACCGTGTAGTAAGCATTTCAATCTGATGCAATCTCTACGGTGGGTGACACCAGTCAGCTGTAAAAGTAGTATAAAATTACATGGAACAAATGGTACAAAAATCGTATTTTTAATACCACGTGGAACTGGCTTCATGGGACTACTGGGAATAAACCTCTACTTTGCAGAGCCGGTGGTATGGTAACCTGACTGCTGATAAACATACCTACTTATTAATATGTTTTTTCTAAATACATACTAAATACATATTATAGATAAACAGGATCATTATTATAACATCTAGACAACAGGACAGTCAAAATAAAAATATTAAATTGTGCTTTTTTATATTTATTTATTTTATTACAAACACACTACATCATTAAGCTCAAATTTTGACACGTTACAGTCTGCCAGTTTTTTCGTATTTTTCACAAAAAATTTGTTCCTAATTTCTCACCAATGCAACTATAATATGTATTAATAGCAAATATATGTTTCACCATAAAAGTTAATAATAATATGTACTGACTGGGGGATTCCCATAATACTAAGTCGCCGAAACGACTGTAAGAATAGTCTCAAACAAGTGACTAAGAAATTAAATATTCTTTGATGCATCGTTAAAAAAACATGTAAATGTTGTGCTTGATATACGTCTTAGGCTAACCACTATGTAACCTGTAACCACTTAAGACTTTAGGAAGAAAACTTCATACACAATTAATTGGAATTTGACAGAATGCTGAGTAACGAATAATGTCTATTAAACTTGTTATTCGTGTTCCATACCCTGTGGCGAATACAAGAAACATTATGGTTCTAGAACAACACGTTTCGATCATGTAAATGATGCTTCAAGAAACATGAGTGTATCACAATATTTTAATAAACCTAATGTTGGAATTAACAGCCTTGTTTTTGCGATCAATAATGATGACGAACAAACAGGGGCATTACTTCCTATCCTTGATGTCGACAGTATGATATTGAATGGTATGTTTCTATACTAAATAAAATAATATATATTTGCAATATGTACCGACCCACACGTGCCGGTTCAACCAGAATGGTCACCCGGCCTCATAGAAAACCAGTGCTTAGCAATACTTTTTGTTGCTGACTGAGGTTACCTGAGACCCAATTCAACTCAACTGGAACTCAAAGGGCGGCAATGCACTTGTGTCTTTGAGTTGCAGTGTTTGCTTGTTTGTCCCCATGCCATTAAAAAAGCAGTATTCGGTTTTTTCCATATACAAATAATAGCCCATTGTTATTGAATAAATTTACTATCATCTTAATACCATTTTTATTAACTTTTCAGTAACAAGTCAAAACCAAAATCATGTGTCAGATAAACCTTCTAAGATAGAATTAAAACCATTGAATGGCACAGATGGTACTGGAAAGTAAGTTCAATTTCTACTGTAGTATAAATATCTACCTGTACACTTGGCATTGTATAATTTTGTGTTATTTTTAGTCTGGATTCTTTGGCTGTTTCTTTGGTAGATCACGAGTCTTTTGAGAACATAGTTCAGTCAGCTTCAGCGATGGCCGTTAAGTTAAACCAAACTAAAGTAAGCGATGTTTATACAGCTGAAGAAGAAATACCGGTCCACAGGCTACAGCGGAGGTAATTATTAGTGGAAATGAATCTGTTGGCTGTAGCTCATTTTCGCATTACGAGGTGAATGAAACGGCACCTCTGTCAAAGTTCTTATTATATATTTTATTATATTAGTATCATCATATAATTTTTTGTCACAAAAATGTTGTTTTGATCATTTAGCCTTATCATCCTTTAAATTGAGGCGATGGATTCGTTTTCTTCTGGTATGGTTTATTTTCGACGTATATGTATTCGTATGGTAGGTTTTGAGGTCATGTGAAATTTAATAATAAACGATGATGCCGGGTACAATAATGTAAATGGGTGGTAAGTTCAGTTCTATCGCAAGTTAGTGGGATAGGTGACTAGGATCTCTTAGTACGTTAGGAGAAAAAGAAAAAAAAAAGAACTTAAAGATTAGAGACAAAGAATCAATGAAATGAAGAATAGTAGGTTCTACGTCTCATATAGGTAACTGTTTTTTAATTAATTACATTTTAGTTATTTTCCATGTCTGTTATTGTTCTCAGTAGAATTCGTAAGAAGCGTTATCTAAGTGCTATTGAAATTAAAGGGGCAAAACCGCATCAAAGACATAAAATGAAACACATGACTACAACTAAAGCAGGGATACAGTTCAATAAGAGACAGTTTCAGAGGCTTATTGAATTTCAGGATGATGAGGTAATAATATTTTTGCTAAAGTCTAGTAACTAGTATATTTTATATTACCTCGTTAATTAAATGTTACGGAGCTTAATATTTGTGTTGCGGTCAAAGGTACAAACAAATACACAAATATGTTTTAACCTTGTAAGCGTTTTTATTATTGTAACTTATTTGCATAAACATTTATATTTTGCATTGTTTTATGAACAAATTCAAACAAATAAGATGATACTTTCGTGTGAAGAAGCTCCACTTCATACAACACAAGCCTAATACAAAGTAGTAATTTTGTACTGTATGAAAAAGAAAAAAAATACGTAAAATAATAAATACAAAGGATATATCTTGATTAAGCGCACTTAACAAGGGTAATTTGCTAGCGATGTAATGTAGTTTGGCTTTTGTGTGAGCGTAAGTAGCGCTGAATTATGCTTCTTTCAAGTGTGATTCATCTGAAGAATACAAACTGTATTGCTCTTCTTCTATAATATTTCAAAAAGAAATATTAAAAAAACGAATAAACCGATTTCAATAAATACTAATAAGGAATAAGATGAGTAAGAAAAAAGACAGTGGCACTACCGGAGTGATAACAGAAGTGAAAATTTAAACATTGTTGATTATCACAGGATTGTGTTATTGTTTTTTTCGATTCGAAAAGTTCCGATGTCTATGTTGTACGTGTATACATAATATATGTTTATATCTATATATATAAAAGAAAGTCGTGTTAGTTACACTATTTATAACTCAAAAACGGCTTTACCGATATGGCTGAAAATTGGTGAGGAGGTAGCTTAGAGTCAGGAGACGGACATAGGATACTATTTATTCCGTATTTTTTTTTTTTTTTTGTATCGGCGTCGATCACCAGATGACAACGGTGGAACTGTCACAACAAAAGTGAAAAGAATGGATTTCGTTGTCGACAACAGTTGGATTGTTCCATATTCGACACTTATTTCTAAAACGTTCAAGACACATTGCAACGTTGCGTATTGCAATTCAGTAAAGTCCATAAAACATATTTGCAAATATGTCACGAAAGGCAGCGATATGGCGGTTTTTGGATTGCAATCCTCAAATACCAACGATGAAATTTCACGCTATCAAGTTGGTCGATATGTAAACTGTAATGAAGCGATTTGGCGTATATTCGCATTCCCTATTCACGAACGTCATCCTACTGTTGTGTATTTGGCGGTGCATCTGGAGAATGGTCAACGAGTATATTTCACGGCTTCGAATGCTATGCAACGTGCTGAAACACCTCCAGCAACTACATTGACCAGTTTCTTTGCGATCTGCCAAAGCGATCTGTTTGCACGAACTTTGCTTTACTCGGAGATGCCACGTTATTATACTTGGAATGCTTCATCGAAGAATTTTCAAAGACGGAAGCAAGGCGATGCGGTTCCTGGGTATCCGGATGTGCGTTCTACTGATGCTCTTTTTCGTATATATACAGTTCATCCAAAGAATGATGAATGTTTCTATTTGCGGTTGTTGCTGGTAAATGTGCGTAGGCCAACGTCGTTTGAGACACTACGGACTGTTAATGGTGTAATATTCCCAACATATCGTGCTGCATGTGAAGAACTGAACTTATTAGAAAACGATACCCATTGGGATACGACAATCGCTGAAGCCATTATCTCTGCATCTCCAAGTCAGATACGCACATTATTCGCTATCATAATTTCGACATGCTTTCCATCAAACCCATGTAACCTGTGGCACAAATATGAGGATAATATGTCAGAAGATATTTTACATCAAATTCGTATCACTTCCAGAAATCACGATGTTGAGATGAATGAGGAGATACATAATCGTGCTTTACTCTTGATCGAAGATATGTGTTACCTCATGTGAGGTAGTTTATTAATCAGGTTAGGAATGCCAGCGCCCAATCGTGAAATGAATGACGCATTTAATCGAGAATTGGAACGGGAACGTGAATATGATCACCAGGAATTAGATTTAGTAGTTCAAAAGAATGTACCCCTGTTGAATTCCCAACAAAAGGAAGTTTTTGATACTTTAATGAAGGCAATCGATGATGGAAATGGTGGTTTATATTTCCTAGATGCCCCTGTTGGAACAGGTAAGACATTCCTCATGTCAGTAGTTTTAGCCACTGTTCGTGCGAGATCCAACATAGCGGTTGCATTTGCTTCTTCTGGAATAGCAGCCACATTGTTAGAAGGATGCCGTACGGCCATTCAGCATTAAAATTACCGTTAAATCTTCAAACTATTGAAGAACCAACGTGTAATATTACGAAAAATTCAGCAATGGCCAAAGTTTTATCGGCATCGAAAATCATCATCTGGGACGAATGCACAATGGCGCATAAACGTGCATTAGAAGCACTTAACCGAACATTGATAGATTTTCGGAATGACTCGAGATGTTTTGGAGGAGCAATGATTTTACTGTTTGGCGATTTCCGCCAAACACTGCCAGTAATTCCAAGATCTACGGCTGCCGACGAAATAAACGCTTGCCTCAAATCGTCGAATCTATGGCGCTATGTGAAGAAACTGCAGCTGACAACAAACATGAGAGTTACATGGCTTAATGATACATCTGCTGAACATTTCTCTGAGCAATCGCTGACTATCGGTAATGGTCAAGTACCTGTCGATGAATCGAGCGGATTGATATCATTTCCAAATAATTTCTGTAATTTTGTCTCATCAAAAGACGAACTTATCAACAATGTATTTCCAGACATTATTTCTAACTACAAAAATAATGAATGGTTGAGTGAGCGAGCAATTTTAGCGGCTAAGAATAAAGATGTAGACGACCTGAACTATATAATTCAAAATAAGATCATTGGAACAATGCATTCATTCAAATCTATTGTCTGCGTCACAAATGAACATGAAGCCACCAACTGTCTAATTGAATTTTTAAACTCCTTGGATGTGCCTGGCTTACCACCGCACAATTTACGCCTAAAGGTTGGCTCCGTAGTAATCATGCTTCGAAACATAAACCAACCAAAACTGTGCAACGGTACGCGTTTGGTGGTTAGAAAATTGATGAACAATGTAATTTACGCGACGATACTGAATTCAAAGGTGAGGAAGTTCTCATTCCGAGGATCCCAATGATCCCAACCGATTTGCCGTTTGAATTTAAAAGACTTCAATTTCCGATCCGTCTTGCATTTGCCATGACCATCAACAAATCACAAGGCCAATCCTTAAAAGTTTGTGGTTTAAATCTAGAACATTCAGGGTTTTTCCCATGGTCAATTATATGTGGCATGTTCACGGACGGAAGACCATCTGCGTTGTTTGTTTTTGCGCCTGATAAGAAAACAAAAAATGTCGTGTATCATAAGGTACTTAAATGAAGAGCAACCTATGTACTGAAATGCAGAAACAATAATAAATGATTAACGTACTTCATTTTTTTTTCTAAGAAAAAAATGAACTTACTAAATTCGAAAATCGGCTTATTTATTGCCTTTAAGGCGGAACAGAGTTCGCCGGGTCAGCTAGTTATATATATATATTTCAACCCGTTTATATATGTATTTCAACCCAAACTCAACTCTCGTGTAAACGGGGCCAATATATGTATATACCTTTACACAAAGGTGTCGATAACGGTAACAGTGTCACGAGTTCAATGGTTTTCCCTATGGGTTCAATGGTTGGTTGTTCAAAAATGCCCAACGCGCCTAAAGAAGTTTTCACTTCAAAAATGATAATATCAGTTATTATAAGACTAAGTTTTTGATTGTAGATGAGTGAACGAGTAGCTATGCAGTACCTGCCAGAGTTCATGGGACAGCCAGTGCTGGACTTCTGTGACTTTAATGAGACTACCACTAAATACGTCTTTCTCTTTAATACCTCCAGACTTGTATTGGCACTTTCTAATTTCACTGTTAGTTATTTCTTACCTTTCTAACTAGACTTGGACTAAAGTTATTCATCATAAAAATAATTAAATAAATAAATGAAATAAATAAATCATCATCATTATCTCAGCCGAAAGACGACCTCTGCTGAACATAGGCCTTCCCCAGGGCTCTCCAAAAGAACTGGTCCTGTGCTGCCCCATCTAACGGCTTCCCGGCTAAATTTATTTTTAAGCAATAATTTTTGATAAAATAAATGTAGCAAAAATCTAGTAAGAAGATACTACCATAACTGTTTTGACAGCATATTCTATAGCATAAAATATGTTATGGTATGGTTATGCATATGTTTTGACATAACATATAATGGAGCTATAGTTTGTTGAAAAATAGAGAAACAATGTTGCCAAAAATGCTAAGCAATGCTTCCGTTGCTTTTCATCGAGTTAGTGATTTTACCGGAGCCCCAACTCCTCACGTTAATGGTGAGGGGGGGGAGGGGGGAAGACAACTAGCGCGCTCCGTGGCCGCCGGTGACTCTTAATGCACGTGTCCATGGGCGGGTAATCAGTGATCACTGAACTGCTTGCTCGTATGACTCTATATATCATAAAAAAATGCATGCATCTTTTTACTAAGTATGTTTTTTTTGCGTTATTTTATTACGTGTACATTATTATTCTGATTTCTTTCATCCCATTTGGAACAAGTACAGGAGCAGATGTTCCAAATTTGAATTTTACCTATATGAAATAAATATGCAAATACTCATATTTAGTTTTGTTTTAGAAAACTCCTTGTGTATTAATTTCTTTTCAAAACATTCAAAGAATTTTCATTTTAGGATTTTGTACTATACCACCATTGCTATTAGGAGCTCACGGTCACGAGCAATTTATTTAATTTTAAGTCATTTTGTATTCCTTATGTATAAGTACATAATTGATGTGTTGTATAGATAAAACGTATGACTGTAGTATTGACGCCATCACGGACCTTGCAAAATAGCGAATTGAGATGTGGACCCTCACACATCGAGTGTCAAATTTCGGGGGCCCGCGTCTGCATCGACTCCCTCAGTGCTTGTGATGGAGTGCCAAACTGCGGTTCCTTCGGTATGTTACATCACCTAAGTATATTAGTTTTAGAACATGTATATTCAGGTCCACTCGAAATATTTCTAGAAAACTTGTGAGGGCTGGGCCACATGTAAAAGTAGGGTTAGGCTCAAGGCGAGTACTTTATTAGTAAAAAAAAACAAATTGGTTTCATTTACTCAAAAGCAATAAGTTGTGTATGTTGCCATTTGAGCTGTATCATATTGGTTAATTAAGACTGACGGCTGACGGGTTAATGTAGGCCGGCCGTCGGGGAGGTGTTTTAGTCTAAACATCTAATACTCCTGGTTCCTACATCACCACCCCCGGTACCCAGGGATCTGATAGGGTTTTTTCCAATTAAATTAAAGTTATGGTTAAGTAATGGTAAATGGGCTATATAAGGGGAAATTACTTATGTGTGTAATTAATCTCGCCAAGGGCATATGTGTCGGTGGTCGAAAAATCGCTAAAATCCTAAAAGTGGTGTAGTCTAGAGCATAATTTTAAGTTGGAGATTAAAATTAGTACTTTCCTCCAACGCCCATCTTCTAATAAACGTCCATTACAAACCGTCCAGTCTCCAACCGAGCTCATCTAATATGATTCAAATCCCTTAGCTCTTAGCTACTGGGTTCATTCCTTAAACACAACACTACTACTCGAATTGATTTTATATCCATTTCATAGACATATATGACGAAGACCGTCTCAGTTGTGGCGCAGCATCTGGTTTTCGTCACAACGTATGCCTTGCTGCTATAACATTCCTAGCCGTCCTCCTCACTGTACTTTATACCATACATTATTGGCTCAAGCGATGTGTTCCCAAGGTGTCAGACGCGTTTTTCATTTATACAGATGCTGCGGAGAATGTGTATGTATATTAATATTATTTTAATTTACATTCTAGCCCCTTAAATGATATTGCATCATCCACAGCCTATAATAGTCCATTGCTGGACATAAGCCTCTCCTTAGAAGGTTTGTCGTTGAATGATATTGTATAATTATAATATACACTAATTATTTACATATATATCATCATACATCATACTCATACAGTGTTCCGTGATCCGTTTCTGTAACATACTGAAGTAATCTGTAAATGTATGTTTTATGATTTTTTTCAGTTTATATTTAGACTCAATTATGAAGTCTCCGCATGATATACGAGTTAGTAAAGACTTTTTCTGCGGGGTTCGAGAACTTCTGGAGTACGAAAATCAAATTACAAAACAAAATGTTTTTAGAAAATTTATGACAAGATGCCTCCCGGTTTTACGATTTTGGCGTAAAAAGTCTGCAGATGAAGTTGTAACAGCAGATATTGATCAATTGTGTTCAGAAAGATTATCGGCTTTTGCTGAACTAGAAATACAAAATATGACAACACATGTGGAATCTCTAAAGGATACAGCTGTTCAAACTGGATCCAGCTTACACGAGATGCTGGATATTTCTCCTTCTATCTACAGCAAGGATGTCGAATTTCCATCAAGAAAATTCGTGACATCATCAACGGAAGCTGTACAGCTCTTGCAGGTCGAATCAGATTCATCTCAACCTTCAGATGAGTTAAACATATTACAATTCTTAAGGAAGCTAAGAGTGAGATCTATTTCTTTGCAACAAGACACTTTGCAAAATGATATATATGAGTTAAGAAACAACCCTGGTGAATCGTCAACTGAATCTCCAACGAAAGAGAAAGAAATTCGAAGTGAGATGTATGAACATGATTACTATGAAATTGACAAAAAAGGCATAATGGAGCAACCACGAACAAGTGAGGGAAAATTGTCTTGTGACATAAATGACAAGCCAACTGTGAAGCATTTGAGGTTTCAGGATGACGCAATAGTTTTGTCACCCAAAGAGCCAGAGGATGATACTCTGGAGCGTGGTTTATTTCCAAGACGCAGCATTATATTTGGGGTTAACAAGGTATTTCGTATACAAGAGCCAGAGGAAGTCTCAAATGATGCTGAAGAATCAGCTACTAGTAGTGGCAGAGAGTTAAAATCATATTTTAATTGGGGCAAAGAGAAAAAGAAAAAGAAGCCTAAAAAGAAGTAGGTTGCGCATACCGTGACACCAGGAAATCGAAGGAGAAATAAACATTACATAATATTAATAGAATTAATGAGGTGACCAAGAGAGCCAGAGGTAGAAAGTTACGCACTAATGAGTTACAGTGCATTTTAGTATAGTATAAATGGAAGAAGGTATTCATAGTTCAATTTCACTATTATTGCGCTGAGAAACACTCAATTTAAGTTTTTTTCAAATTAAATTGTCTGACAAGCACACTGCCTGTATTGTGGTACAAAATCACTGATAGTGATAAAACATAGCAATAGTAGTCGTGACACTTGGATAATAAGAAGTACTCTTGGAGTCATAGTTAACCTTATTCTTTTGTATGGTCTATAACGTTAGTCAGGTAGTCAAACTGCTTTAATTTAGAAATATAATTTATGTTCAAACTTCTTTACAGATATGTCAACTGTATTAAAAGGTTTTTTAGTACCTTCCTCTAACATAATTAAATACTGTTTATTAATTATGCTATGTTTTTCAATTTTCATGAATTATTGTGTGATTGTATGTATTTTTTATATGTGAGTGTTGCTATCGGTTGAAGACGGCCGTCACAACGGCGGCGTCTGCGTCCCGCGCCGCTATTTCCTAATTAAGATCAATTGTGCACCGGATAGAACACGTGCCAAAATGTGTGATGTCTTTTTAATGGCATACCGTCATCATATACCTATACGTGTATTATTTACTCACTTTGTTATACTACCGATTATAGACAGTATGGAAAATAATTGAAGGCGATAGAAGTATGTATTAATAATGGTTGGCTTTTGTTTTGCAAGTAATCAAGATTTTGGTAAAATATATGTACCTATGCATAGAATATATGTAAACATATTTTTTTGGTATGTATTTTAAATTACTCTACCTTAAGAGTAGAGTAGTTCGACTGGCCTGTTGGTCTAGTGGGTAGTGACCCTGACCGCTAAACCATATATAGCGAGTTCGATACCCCACCATATAGCACTATAATTAGTTCAGTTCAGTTTTAACTATTTATATTATTATTATATTTTTTGATAGCATGCAATTAACTTGGGTTCATGATCATCTTCTCAGCCCAAAGACGTATGCACTGCTGAATATATGTCGCTCAAGGTTCGCCACAATACCAGTCTTGTGCTGCCAGCATCCAACGGCTTTCCGCGACCTTCGCCACTTTTTGGGTTATAATGATGTAATGATTTTATTATTGCACCAGCGCCGCGACACAAGGAAAATAACAGATAAAATGATGTACTGAACAATAATCATAAAAGCTCGCCTTTATTGTATTCTGAATATAGAAGTGAACTTCATGCTATCTGGAGAAATGTGTAATGTATTGCCACATAATTTTATTCTGTTATAATATGCGTCAAATAAAAGGCTTTCTTCTTATACTAGTTAACGTTATAAAGCGATATACATACTCACCGTGTGGATTAAGAATACGGAATGTCATTACCCCTAATCATCCCGTGGGTGTCGTAAGAGCCGACTTAGGGAGCAAACTACGCAGGACCACAGCACTACAAAAAGAAGGAAAACTTGATACAAACCCAACTCATCTGGGCAGCATGGTGTAGCAGGTCAAAACCTCCTTTCTAAGGAGAGGCCTATGTCCAGCAGTGGACTATTAAAGGCTGTTGATATGTGATGTGACTTCTCACCGACGTCGCTACAGATCTCAAATTACACTTTGTTGCAATCAAAGTGACAATTAGGGAAGATTAAAATTAAGTTAGTTGTGGCTATTGCTCGTGTGTGTACTTTTGGTGACTAGAAAATAACTATTCTAGTGCTGACGTGTAAGTTTGTACACTTGTTTCAAGACATTTGGTACCAAAAGTGAATATATTAATAGAATATGTAAAAATGTAGTTAGTGGATGTATTTTTGTAATACTTAATAAAAATAAAGTTATTGTCGTATGGAATAACACGTTTATTTTTTTTTTCATACCTCATTCCTGTACTTTAACTTTGATGAGAAGATATCAACTATCGTAATTTTTAGGGTTCCGTAATTCAAAAGGAAAAAACGGAATCCTTATATGATCACGTTGCCGTCTGCTTGTCTGTTAAAACCTTTTACCTTGGGAACGTGTGGAGGTATCGGGTTGATATTAAAACCATATTTACGGTCCCTTGTAATTGTAAAATAATCAAAGTCGTAAGTTAATGTAAAAAAAGATACGGTCGTTTATGCCGCAAAAAATGACACTCATATTTCGACACTCTCAAGGGAATCAAAATTCATAGGGTACTTTCCGTTGACCTATAACTCTGAAAAGTAACACCGTCTATATTACAAGTATAGTGAAAAATCTGAAAACTATACGTATATAAGTAAATAAAAATTATAAAGTACGTTAAAGTACGTAATCAATCATCAAATTTCTCTTATAAAACTCAAGAATATAAGTAATTAAAGGTTTTGAAAACTGAATTTCTGAATTTATAATACATATATACTTACAAACGCACCACTCAGTGGGCGAGTCCAACTCGTACTTGTCCGGATTTTTGTTTAATTAAATTGAAACATCCGTTTAAAATATTACGATCATATTATTGAACCTGAAATTCTACGATATCCTTATTTACAAAACCAGTTATTATGACTGAATTCTCTCAGAAACATCAAACTTACAAAAAGACTTACACGCTCATGTTAGTAATCAAGTCAAAACATTATGATCATAATCTTTAGGTTGTTTAGATATTTTTTGGTCAATTCTTAAAAGATTTTTCTTTAAATTATAAATATTAAAAATCATAAATTTATATTTCAGTTTTCCGGTTTGGTTTCAAAATAATAGAAACTTTTTTAAATGAAATGTTATAGCATTAGGTAAGCTTATTGCCCGATTATAGTACAACTTAGCAATACTTTATTGACTATAGCCAGCAGTAAACAAAAAGCATTTTCTATTTATCGAAACTTTATAGTTGAGACTGTCCAAAACTTAATTGATTAAGGCTGTTAGATCCTACTTCTGATACACTGAACGGTGTCTTATTTTCACTTAAGGAAATATATCCCTAAATAGAAAGCCTACGTAGTTACATCATAAGTTACTCAGAGCCTTTATTTCTGGAATATGCTTAAGTACCTAAGTTTTTTCTATTTTCATGTTCTTTCATTGTGATTTTATAAATTCAATAAATAAATCTAAATTATAAAGGTAGTAATTATTATATTTATCTTAGTAAATCCGTGCATTGACTAGTACTGCTATAGACACAATATCCAGAAATAAAAAGGAAGAGAAATTAACAATTATTTATAACAACGACCACAAATCAATCAAACCAAACGATATAAAAAAATGGTATGATCAAAGTATGTGATGATATGTTATGTTATGGTAAGTGATGATGGATCAAAGTATGATGTCACAATTATTATTTCATACGAGTTTGTAAGAAACCTATTGCTTTTATGTCTCACAAAGACCAGGGCCTCAATTCTGCTATTTTATGTTTACGCCAAGCCACTGTCAGACCACTGACACGCTATTGAGATGCCATCGAGTGGCCATTGGCATCGGTATAAATATCGGTAGTTGAAATTATATTACTTTTTTGAGGAAATGGTTTATTTATTTTTATTATAATAAATTATTAAAAAAAAATAGAACTTTCCTTGCAACTTATTTATTAGGTATTACGAACAACAATTACCACGTCTGATACATAACATTACATGTACAGGATACCGTAGTGCCGAACAAATGGCCAGTTTTATTGGGGCAATGAAATTTATCTTAGAGCTTTTATGTCAGCTCCAAAAAAGATAGATGTAAAAGTGTCAGGCTAGAAGCGGGAGTCGGGAGCCGGTGCACGAGGTCATTTCAATTGAAGTCAATTAAAGCAATTTAGTTCAATTGAGCGCGCGGCAGATTCTGCGTCGCGCTGCCGTCGCCAGAGAGATTTTATGTCAAGCGCCTACGCTCGCGCACCACGGCGCGCCGAGCCGCATCACATGACTCATTTTGGACTTGTGTATATGCTCATTTTTTATGTAAATCACTTTTGAACTGTTTCTTTCTCTTATACTAACACTTATTGTAGCGACCCTATCAGTGATCATATAACGTCATACAGCCTATTTAAAACCTTCAATAAATAGGACAAAAATACCTATTCAAGCATTGTTTTTCAATTGGTTTGATTAGGGCGTAATTACTTTATATTTCGATAATCTCGTGAACAAGCCAAAAAAACCTTACCTTAAATAAACACAAACAAAGATACAGACCGCTCAGCTTTATATAGAATGGACCAGTAATGTTAGACAACTTTTCAACAGCAACTCCTTAAGTGGCATTCAGAATTAGACAAATAATACAGAAAGTTACAACAATATTGCTCTAATTTACTTTCCTACTTATAATGTTATTGTGTACTTATCAGCTGTACATTTTCATTAGAGTATTGTAAACCTTACAAGTCAGTGTTAACCCATTTTCGAAGTTGGAATGTAATGTATTAAAATAACAGAAAATGAAAATTTGTTGATACGGCATTTCACGACGTTTTATAAGCTTTTATAAAGAGCAGATGATCATCTTGATGTTCCTTTCAAATAATTATTGTACTTTAATTTATTTGAATGTACCTACAAATAAGTTACATTTTGAACAGCTCAGGTCAGGTTCAGGTTTCAACAGCTCATTTATCATTCAACAGCTAATTATTACGATGCTTCTGGTATTTCATAAGAAGTCAAGTGAAGAGTGTTTCTAATGAGGAATTAGAAATCGGATTTGTTGAAATTTAAATTGAGAATTAAGTATGTTCTATAATGTCACAATATTTTTAGGTAGTTTGACTAGAAAATATTTTCATTGATTAGATCGAGCAAAAACTTGGCCTTTTACGTGTAGAGACAGTTAGTAGTCTATTTGTACATTAAGCTACAGAAAATACAGTGCACTTCATGCAGTTATTGTCAAAAACGTTTTATATATGTATGTTATGTTCCTGTTT